ACAGGAAGTATAAAGCAAACAACATTTAAAATGAAGAAACAACACCACCTGTGTATGTAAAATAAATTTTTGTCAGGCTATAGTGGTGCATGCCTTTAATTCCAGCACTTTCACAGCAGAGGCAGATATATCTCACTAAGTTAGAGGCCAGCCTGTTCTACAAAGTGAATTCCAGGAAAGCCAGAGGAATGTGTCTTTAAAAAAAAAAAAGGAAACAAAATGTCTTTTTGTTTCACCTTGAAAACACACCTAACATGATTATAATAAGTGACTGTTAGGCCAATTTATTCTTTTGAAGAGGATATTTTATTTGGATGATGTGTTATTATTTAGATACCTCGGTTGTCTAGTGGTTTTTAGATTCCTTAGTTCAATGTTTTCATACTTTTGTAAAGACAAAACAAAACTCTGCCGGAACCCTACCTTTATGAAGATTTATTGTTGGAAATTATATTTAATCAAAAGGAAGACATCTGGTAATCTTACGAATTAGGTAAGATTGAATGGTAATGCTCTCTGATGAACTACTGTTTCTTTTACTCAAGGGATTTTTTATTTATTTATTTATTTATTTATTTACTTAATTATTAAAGATTTCTGTCTCCTCCCTGCCACCACCTCCCATTTCCCTCCCCCCCCCCAGTCAACTCCCCCTCCATCATCAGCCCGAAGAGCAGTCTCAAGAGATCTTTTTGTTTGAAGTTAATCTTTAAGGATTGAAGTGGTATCTATAACTTTATTCCCCAATTTAATTCATATCTTGGTTTTTATTCTGAATGCAATGTATCTTTAAACCATACAGGTTGGTTTAATTTAGCAGGGCTTTTTTATTATCTAATGTCTCCCCACAGCTGTTGTTTCCTTTTTACTAGCATTTAAAACTGTAAAAATTAATAATCTATTCTGTAACCTATCTTTATGGCCTTAATTCCTCCTTTCTGCTAACTGAGCATATATTTTAAGATGCCTGATGAAGTGTTAATCTAATTAATCTTTTCAATCCCAAAACAACCTAAAAATGGTTTAAAATCTGCTTTCTGCTACATGGCATAGAGCAGAATATGTGGATTGTGCCCTATCTACCTGTCTACCACACTGCACACCTGAGAAATCTCTGCACATCAGAAACTCCTTTTGTCCCCTGGAACTAAGCTTCACTGGATCCCACCATTGCAGCTAGTGGTAACACCATGTTAAAAGCACTCTACTCTACTATTGCTCTACCAGGTCCTAAACAATTTGTAATCTTTATAACACAAACCTGAAACTGGAATGCAATATTCAGAACTTCTAGAAACTAAACCTTCAGTTTTCTAATCTCTCTTCCCACTGCACAGCAAAAGCAGTGCCCATGTGTGTACTCTGGACAGAGATACAACCAGCATCATTTCCTTCCATTCCAGGGCTGCAGTATTTCTATACACAAAGAGGCTCAGAGAACAAGCACCACTGCCTACATGAACCACATGGACCAACATAACTGCAGTCTATCTCATGGTACTTCCCAGTCTCAGCAGAAATGACATTTCAACAGAACTGCTCTGAACATGCCCCACTCATTACAGGATTGCTTATGGTCTTCCTTACCACCCCCTACAGCAGAGACAGAAGAGAATCATGGAAAGAACTGACAAACTGTCTGCCCACTAGTACTCTTGATGTCTAACCCTGCTCAGAATTCCTCACTGGATAGGGCCACCTAGCCTAGCCTCTCACTATTAGCAGCTCCTCTACAGGAGGATCAGAGATCAAATGACTCAGACAGCACAATCCTTCCATCCAGTTCTGCCCTCCCAGCCCAGCAGACAGGGCCCCAGTTTAGACAGTTTGTATTAAGTACACATTTTTCCACTCTACTAGAGCACATCCTCTTTCTCATCTAAAGCACAGGGTCCTTTGTGTGCACATTCCATTACATATCCACTTTCCAGTTCAGCATCCCATTGGCTCAGAGATGGAAAATCCTACAGACAAACAGGTCACATTCATAACGTAACTACTGTTAGAGTGTAACTGTGGTTACTCTATAACTGTTGTTAAAATAGAATAGACCAGGAATTAAAAAACAATCCAGGGATCTTAGGGCTTGGAGGCAGCAAGGAGAATGTAAATATGATGTAGTTGTCATCTCAAAAACTATTTTGAAATCTTGGGACAGACTTTATGGTCATATACTGCAGAGACTAGGGATTTGTATTAGAGCACAGTAAAAATTTTTCATGTATTTTCTCTAAAGATCAATGTCTTAATAGAGAAAAGTCCTGTTAAGTAGAGCCACAACATTTTGCCCAGATCTTCTATTGTAGATGAACTACTGTAAGTATAGCAATTAGGTTTAAAGATAAGGTCACTCCCTTTCCCAGTTTCCTTTTGGCACTGGTCTGTGGACTGCAAACAATGGTCAATCAGGACATTCATAGAGCATCTACAGTTGACTACCTGATTTCACATAGCTAACCTCAACTACTTATGAAGGAGGAAAGTTTTCACCCTCAGTCCAGCCTCTCCTTTTCTGCACTGTGTCTCCACCAGCTTCAATAAACTCTTCCTCCTACTGTAGTCTGAGGACAGAAGGAATGCTCCACATGCAAATCCTTTCCCTGCAACTGCAATGCATAGTCAACTACATGACTCTCATTTATAATTTTAAAACTGTGAGGTGGTGCAATCATTTTTAAAGGAGTTTTGAAAGTCTAGTGTACAGGACAGCAAGGTCATTGCCCTGGACAGCAGCAGACCAAGGCCACCTGCATCAACATAAGAGAACTTGTTTCAGAAACTATTTTTCTAACAGGGTGGAAATGCAGCTGTTCTAGAATTAATATAACTTTCATTGAGAAATCACTTCACACACTGACAGTGGCAAACTGTAATGCCTCCTTGAAAGGCTTGATAAAGGTTGTTCTTTGATATCTGGAATCAACAGTGGATTCTTTGTAATAGTTTGGAGCCAAATATCTGGACAACCCAGTTGAGCAAAGTGTACCCTAGCATCCTAAACTCTAACAGCCCTGAATAAAACACATTTATCTTTTGGGTTATTAAGAGGCAGTCCTCCCTCAGCTAATTCTACTTTGTGAGACTGAACTATTTCCAAGGCATTGGCAAATCCTTTATATCACCAATTCTCCTCTTCTACGTTGCAGCTAAAAGTGCTGCGCTACCCAACTGGTGAGATGCCTTGATACCATCCACATAGTTAAACTTAAATGGAGATTGTATGTAAAGTTAAATGCAAAGTGCGCAATATCGAGAAGATTCTGAAGAACCTAGGCTTCACTGACTTTGGCATATTGAAGTTGACAAGATGTTTGTACACACAGCACCCTGCTCCCAATTCTTTAAGCGGATTAAACCCAAAGCGTAAAGTTATTCAGAGGTCTGTCCCTAGGTCTAGGAATTAACAGGACCACGTGGGACTTCACAATGCAGAGAATCTGGCGGCAGGTTCCCACGCGTATCCTGGGAGGATGCACCATGCTGTCTCCCGCACCTCACCCTCTGCTCCTCCCCATCTGGAGACAGCGTTCCCCTGCTCACCATGTTGTGGTTTCTCAGCTCGCCAAAGCTCTCAGTTTATCAACTTCCTGCAGCAGTAACTTCACCGGAACACAGAAAACAAATGGCGCCAGCTCCTCTGCAAAATCGAGACTGAATGCGGTGCCCGGAAGAGCCCTGCACAACATCTGACTGGCAGGTCACCTGGAGGGCCTGATTGGCTAGTGAGGGAGGCCTGAGTGACAAGAACACCTCCCACAGGACTGAAGTGCGCTTCACAAGACAGCACAGAGACTTTGGGCCTCTCCAGCCACCTGAGTCAAAGATCTTTTCTTGATTGGCCGAGATATGCATTTCAATAGCACTTGCCCTGGCTATGGAAGCCGACACCATCATAATCTTGCACTCCACAGGAACTTTCCCTTTTACCTCCAGAATACGACCTGGCCAGTTAGCTTGTACAGTGCATATGCATTTCAATAGCACTTGCCCCGGTTATAAAAGCCGACACCATCATAATCTTGCACTCCACAGGAACTTTCCCTTTTACCTCCAGAATACGACCTGGCCAGTTAGCTTGTACAGTGCACTGTGCTGTGCTAGGTGGGTGTAGGGATTCCCTGTCCCACAGGGGAAAGATGCCCAGAACATTAACAGCTAAAGAGAGTTTTAAGGTCACAAAAGGAGATGTTAGTTCTGTGGCTTCATGCTGAGGTCAGATAAACTGAAGATACTTTTTACATGGTTTTCACAGGGATTCACACAACGGAAAAGAGAAAAGGAGGAACCAGATCTCAAACAAGATGACTGATCTTTCCCCCATCAGAAGGCTGGATGATGGCTCCATTGCTTTATGGGTTTTATTACTGGAATTTGAAGCAAACTTCAGGAAAATGAATAATAATAAAAAGAGTAGTGTTCATGGAAATGGGAATATGTAGAGAATAATGGCGCTAGAAGGAACTGCAGTATTCAAGATTCTCTACATGAACAGGATTGGTAGAATGAATCTCAACATGTATGTAAAAAGTGGGCTTAGTATAATGTTTCACAAGCTGTGTTTCAGGTTGTCTAAAAATAGCTACTTAAAAATGACAATTAAAGAATTCCGTAGATTGCTTCTCAGCCTTTTCCCAAAGATCAAGTGAAGAATCCAGTAGTTGTTCAGCCCATGAGGCTTGATGTCTCAACTGATTTTAAGTATTCACCGAAATTTCAAAGAAGTAGTCTCTAGTACTAGTAAAGGAATGAGCTTGGTAGCCAGAGCAAGTTGATAAAAAAGAGACTTTTCTACTTCAATGTACTTTATATGCAATTGCTGCTACCAGAAGGTGAGAAGGTTAAAATTAGATCATAATCTTGTTTGATTCAGATTTTCTTCCTTTTGTGATTTCAAGACAGGTTTTTCTGTGTAGGTGTGGAACTCATTCGGTAGGCCAGACTGGTCTCAAACTCAGAAAATCCCAGTGCCTCTTGTTGTGCCCAGATTATGACCACCAGAGAGAGACCACCAGATAGGTCCAGACTGTAATAAGCAAGGTTTAATCAGCATAATGCAAACATGTTTGGAACTCATCTCCACCCCCATTACAGCAAGGTAGAGAGGAGTTGTATCTCCTCTGTGGGGTAAGCTTTTAAAGCCTTAACTACAAAGAGAATCTTTGATGTTGCCTTAGCATGGGTACAAGGACTTTTGCTTCCTCCCATTCTGTAAAGTCAGCTTTCTCCTTGTTCTTAGAGCAAGGCCACTGTCCTTGAGATAGGCCATCTTTAACAGCCTGTACCAGGTGGCTGGCTCGGCTGACCTAGGTGACCTTCTGCTTGGAATCTTGCAGGTGGGAGAGGGGAATTCCACTATCTTCCTGAGAAAACATTCTGCTAGGAAATTTCTTCTCTTCCCTTTGATAATAAGGGGTGAGGGTCCCACACCTCTTGCTCCTGTGTCAAGGTGTTAAAGGTGTGCATGCCCACCAAGCAGCTAAAGGTGGGTCCTATTATTTCAAGCTATCCAGATTAGTGGAGGATTTTCCCATTCCAAAATCTTTAAGTAAAATCTCTCTCAGGTATAATTAATTCTTTGTGTATTGATTAATTCCAGAGGTAGTCAGTTTGACCACCAAAAATAGCCATTTCTACAGCCAAGACAAAAGAAATGAAAACAAAATTATTCTTGCTGGAGGCACAAAGTGCAAGGGAGTTATTTTCAAAATAGTGTTTTTCCTCAACAAAGGAAGAATGGGGATTTTCCTTAGGATGTCTGAACACACTCATGATATGTTCTCCCTTTTCTTAAGCATGCTAAATTAACAAATCCACTAGTGAACATGATTCCAATGTAAAAACAGATATTTAGGAAATCTTACCACGAAGTCTTGTAGGAACATACGTAAATTAGACAAATGACGGAAAGAACTGTCTCTGGCATGTTTATATTTTACCATAAGGTCTTAGTTGAAAATCAAGTAGATGACATTGTGAAAAGTAGATTGTCAATCTTGATGATCAATCTAAAAGATAACTGTACCAACACCGTATATCTCACAGACACAAAAGATAGAGAACACAAAACCAGAAAACTTCAAGGAAAAGTCACCTAAAAGCCCTCTATACAGTGCTCCTGGATGAACGGTTATGATGATCTCTGTTACTCTCAGAGCAAAGCTGGTTTTGCTCTGAGCAGGGTGGCAAGACAGAAGGCCACAGCTGCTTCCATGCAAGGTAAGAAGGAGTCCATTTTAACTAGACCTGGCTTGCTGTCTGTCTCGGGGTCAGGACATCACTGTAGAGAATTTCATTTTTTTCTTTTCTCTAACCTTAAAAAAATCTTTAGTTATACAGTGTTTTGCTTGCATGTGCCTCTGCACAGTACCTACAGAGGGCAGAAGAAGGGATGAGATACCTGGGACTTGAATCAGAACAAATGGTGTGCTAGCATGCAGGGTCCAGGAATGGAATCAGGGTCCTCTGTGAAAACACCCAGTGATGAGCCATCTATCTAGCCCCTCTTTTTAATTTAAAATTAATCTTTAAAATTTGTTAATCAAAAGAAAATACATCATTTTTTTATTTCCTTATTCCATCCCTGCCACAATTCCCTTCCAACTTCATCCTTGTTAAGTGTGGGTAAATATGTATGCTGAAATACATAAATATGTTATACCCAAATCTGCAAAGTCTCCAAAAAGCCAACAAGGAGATCACGTCCTATACATAAAAGCAAAGAGCCTTTATTTTATGCAAGTTTGCAAACTCGGTCTCTCTGCATGTCCTGTGTATTGGAATAACTGGAGAGCTCTGAACTGAGTTAGAGTTTGGTTTTTATAGTAGTCAAGGTGGGGATGAGGAGTTTCTAAGGTTCAGGACCCCTGATTGGTTGACATTTACCTAGGGGTGTCCTGGTGAGTGTGTGCTGGCAGGTGATCCTATCTAAAATGGTTGGAATGTTAAGCATTTCCTTTGGATGGTCTATTTTTGGGTGGTGCTTGGGTAATCTCAGTTTATATTGATATAGATTTTTGTAAATTGATACAAATTTACAGTTGTTTTGTTAGAAAATTATATATATATATACATATATTTGTTTTTAATCTCAATCAAAGTATTGTACCTATATACCTTATATAACAATTCAATGCAAATGTGTAGGCCTTTAAAGTTATTATATCAACTAATTAGAATATCATGAAATATAAATTAGTAGTCATCAATTATAATCCATCTTGTAGTTATATTAGGTATATTTTCAAGGTCAAGCTGAGATATATTTTAGATAGTCTATGACAATTGGGCATGACTTACCATGGGTATGTTTTTCTCTGTAAATATGACCAAAAAAAGGGAGTAGAAGTTTATGTTCTCTCTTTGTTAGTCAGAACTGGTGCAATCCTGGCTGTTGGTCATCATAGCTCTTGGGAGAATTACAGGACAGGAGCATCTAGAACAGTGGCATCTACCTAGTTCTCTATTTCTGAGTTTATTTTTCCTTTGAACCCTGAATAGTTAAATACACTTTTGTGGTTTCTCACTTCAATAGGTAGCATGGTGGTGTGCACGCAGACTTGGTACTAAAGAAAGAGCTGAGAGCGCTACATCCAAATCACCAGGCAGCAGGTAGTGAAAAATACTTATATGTCCCTTGACCCAAGAATGAACAAGGAAAGGGGGCTACATTTACATAACTGAGTACTTCACAGTAAAATAATGACATCTTGAAATTTGCAGGCAAATGGATGGATCTAGAACACACTATATTGATTGAGGTAACCCAGACCCAGAAAGAAATATTGTATGTATTCACTCATAAGTAACATTTAGACATAAAGCGAAGAAACACCAGCCTAAAATTCACAATTCCAGAGAACCTAGACAACATGAGGACCCTAAAGAGGCATACATGAATCTAATATACAGGGGAAGTAGAAAAAGACAAAGTCATGACATCTGTTAGTTCTCAAACACAGTGGTGTTTGTTATACAGCTTGTTCCCACGCAATAGAAAAGAACTTTTTCTTTTTTTAATATTTATTTATTTATTATGTATACAATGTTCTGTCTGTGTGTATGCCGGCAGGCCAGAAGAGGGCACCAGACCTCATTCCAGATGGTTGTGAGCCACCATGTGGTTGCTGGGAATTGAAATCACGACCTTTGGAAGAGCAGGCAATGCTCTTAACCTCTGAGCCATCTCTCCAGCTCCTGGAAAAGAACTTTTTCAATCCTGCTATTGACATGATATTTTTATGAATTCTGATGTCATCATCACATTTCCAAACAATAATTATTTAGTTTCTACATTTCCTTATGCTAGAGGACCTGACAGACCCATATGGGATCTAATGTGTGCTATATATATATAAGACAAAGCCTATTCCTGATTATATCTTGAACCTGAAAAAACAATGGAGTCAATTCTACATCATCTGGTATTAATTATGTGGTTTCAATATCCAAAGTTACTTTTTCTGCATATTGCAAATCAATAACTTTGTTGAGAAGTCCTTTAAAATCCCTTAGTACAGAAAATAGAACGCTAAGACAAATAACTATTAAAGGGACTAAAGATAATCTAAGATAAACTATAATTATGCTCTAAACCTACATCATCCAAACCTCTCCAGAATCACAAAAGTTCTAATCAATTGATTATTCTTGCAGAAGGCCCAGTGTAGGTGTGGCATTCTTCTGGGAACAACTGTTCACAGTTGTTTAGTCCTGTGCCATTAGGCAGAAATTCACAATGACTGGAAAGGTTACCGAGAAGTTTCTTTATGTCATGGGGACTAGAAAGCAGAGAGAAGGAATACACGAAAGGCCAGGGAAATATATAACTTGCACGGCACATCTCCAGTGACCTACTTCCTCCAACTATACTCTAAAGATCACACTAACCCCAAATGGTACCACCATCTGGGAAAAACAAGTCAATAAGCATGTGAACTATGGGCTCAATTCAATTTCAAACTCTAACCATGGCAATGAACTCCTAAGCACTAAAGCTAGACTTCACAATTGCTAGCCATTCTGTGTCATCAGTTTATCTAACATCTATCCATCTGTTCACATTGTTTTCATAATCTGCTTTCTAGGAGATCGCAGTGGGGCATGGGGGGATGTTAAAGTCCGTAGTGCAAGAATTAGATACCTGATTTTGGGTTCCCAGCACCCAAATAAAATGTCAGGTTCTGGATGCCTATGCCTGTAATTCCAGGTCAGGGGAAGAAGCAGACAAGAAGATTCCTGGAATTTATTGATTAATTAGAGTAGGAGAATTTGAGCGCTCCACTTTGAGATACTGTCTCAAAAAAATTAGAAAGACAGATTGATAGGTACATAGATAGGTAGGGAGATAAAGCACTTGGAGTCCAATCTCACGGCTACATGGAACTATCTGACAAACTAAACCAAAACTAAACAATGCTGACAGAATATCTGTAGTTGAGAGGCCTGAGAAGACAGGTGAGATTTTCTTGTAAGAAGAAGGAACTCAGTTTGAGCCCAAGAATCCATGCTGAAGAGAAAACGAAAAAAGTCACAAGGACTTTTAACACTAGTAATGGGAAAGGGACATGGAGACAAATGAGAACCTGGGGCTTGTTGGTCAGCTAGCCTAGTCTACTTGGAAAGTTACAAAGCAATCAGAGACCCTATCTGAAAAGAAATAGAAAATAAAAGTTTGATCAAATCAAAGGCCTGAAACCAGAGATTCACTTCTGTCTTCCAAATATATACACACACATATATACAATCACATACTTATATTTCCACAAGTATATACACACAGAATGCCCAAACATACACACACAGTTGTACAATAGCACATACAAATTCATACAATAGTACATACAATTCATTGCTAGCTCTGACTGTGTCTTTCTATGGTTATTTATGCTGGTTTATATTTGTAACACACATGCTCAGCTTTGAGTAGGTCTGATGTAAAAAGGATATCAGCTTCATGACAGGTTTTGAATATTTTGCAAAGCAAATCTCATGTACAAGGAACATCTGTGGTGGGTTGATTATTCTGTTGTATACTCTGAAGAATTGTCACTCAATTTGCTTAAATAAAGCAATGACTGGCCAGCAGATAGGCATGAGACAGAGGGAGCATGTCTAGATTGTGTCATGCTAATAAATGTTTTACTATGTGGAGAATATGTGTTAACTTAAAAATGTGACAGGTAGTTAGTAATAAGCCTGATATATTGGTCAAGAATTTTCAATTATTAAAAGCCTTAATGTAGTTACTTTGAACTGGTATGTAGGAAAGAAAAGACTGTGAAGGCGTAAGTCACAAACAATGCCACACCAATTCGGGGTTATGATTATTAGGGTGGTATTTATTTAAAGGGGAAAAAACTTACAGATCACTGTCCCAGGCAACAGCCCTCTACGCAACCAGGAAAGGAGTCTAGTCACAGGCGGAGCAGGAAGTGAAGAGAGAGAGGAGAGGGAAGTGGCCGCTTTTTTAAAGGGAGAGAAACCACGCCCCAGTGGGCTGGTACCTCAGCGGTGATAGGCTGGAGGAGTGGGAGGACCTCCCGCAACAAGACTGTTTAAAAATGGCATTCGGGAAGAGCAGAGGCGTTCTGTAGGGCTGGGTTGAAAGCCTCTGTCTAATAGCATCCGCCTGACCCCCAGTTGGGGGGCACCTAGCCAGGGGCTGTCCTCCCTTACTCTAGCCTTGCATGTACTTGGTATTAACCTAGACGCAGAGAGCGGGTCTCGCTCGGGGGTCAGAGAAGGAGGAGAGTGACCAGTCCTGGGCCCTTCCTGCATACCTGGTGGCGACCTGAACTCCAGCCCTGGGGAGTGGGCAGGACCTCTAGCCACGCCTCGCTCCCTGCTTTTCCTCTCCTTCAGCGTTGTCTACTAGCTACTTTTCCTGCTCTCTGTCCCAGGAGACGAACGTTTGAGCCTGAGATGGCAGCCACCCTGCTCATGGCTGGGTCCCAGATCAGACTTAATGCCAATGCCTTCTCGACATTTCTAACCATGTCTCTAATTTCAAGAAGAAAGGCTGGGACTAAACTCCTAGATGCTAAGTAGTGAGGAAGCATTGTGTGATTTCAGGCCCCTGTGACATTTGAAGATATGGCCATGTACTTCACTCAGGAAGAATGGAGACCTCTGGATCCTACACAAAGAGACCTTTACAGGGACGTGATGCAGGAGAATTAAGGAAATGTTGTCTCACTGGACTGTCAGATCAGGAACGAGAACGAAACAACCCGAAAGAAGAGCTTAGTGAAGATGTGGAGTTTGTGACCATGTCCGAAGAGCCTATTGGGGATGCTGAGAAGAACCTGGAAAGCGAAGAAGTCTTTGAAAGTGGGGACAGGTCCGAAAGACAGTGGGGAGAGCTGACCGCAGAGGAGTGGGTCAGCTACCCTCTCCAGCAGGTCACTGACCTGCTGGCCCACAAAGAAGTTCACACAGGCATCCGCTATCACATATGTTCTCTGATGGAGGAAGGTCATTGGTTAAATAAAAAGAAACTGCTTGGCTCTCATTGGTTAGAAGATAGGTGAGAGGAGTAAACATAACAGAACGCAGGGAGTAAGAGGAAGTAAGCTCAGACTCCACAGCTCTCCTCTCAAGAGCAGACGCCTCAGAGAGACGCCATGCTCCCAGCTCCCGGGAAGATGGATGTGATGAAGCTCAGACCCAGGATGGATGTAGGCTAGAATCTTCCCGGTAAGCGCACCTAGCTGTGCTACATAGAATATTAGAAATGGGCTAGTCCAGGTGCGAGAGTTAGCCTAGAAGAGGCTAGATAGAAATGGGCCAAGCAGTGATTAAAAGAATACAGTGTCCGTGTAATTATTTCGGGGCATAAGCTAACCAATCAGGCTGCCGGGGTGCTGGGAACGCAGCCCCGCTGCTCTTTTTACTACAGTTCTCAGTGTGGGGAGGCCTTCAGTCAGATTTCAGACCTCAATCGACACCAAAAGCACACACGGGACACAGACCCTACAAGTGTTACAAATGCGGCAAGGGCTTCAGCCGCAGCTCCCACCTTATCCAGCATCAGAGAACACACACGGGCGAGCCACCCTATGACGGCAACGAGTGGGGGAAGAGCTTTGGAAGGAGCTCTCACCTCATTCAGCACCAGACAATCCACACCGGGGAAAAGCCGTACCACTGCAACGAGTGCGGGGAGAACTTCAGCCGCATCTCGCACTTGGTCTAGCACCAGCAGAGGCACAGGGGAGAGAAGCCCTACGAGTGCATGGCCTGTGGGAAAAGCTTCAGCCACAGCTCCCATCTGATCACACACCAGAAAATTCACACCGGGGAGAAGCCCTATGAGTGTAACGAGTGCTGGCAAAGCTTCGGGGAGAGGTCAGATCTGATTAAGCACCAGAGGACTCATGCGGGAGAAAAGCCCTACGAGTGTGTGCAGTGTGGAAAGGGGTTTACACAAAGCTCCAACCTCATCACCCATCAAAGAATTCACAGGGGAGTGAAGCCTTACGAATGTACCAAGTGTGACAAGAGTTTCAGCCGGAGCTCAGCTCTTATTAAACACAACAGAGTCCATACCGACTAAGTCCTATATTCCTGAGTAAGAAATGACTCGTGGAGGTAGTTATATTTGATTTGATATCAGTGAGCTTCCTTTAGATTGACTTTCCTTATTGTTGGCCACGTTTTCAAACATGGTAGAATACAACCCCTTTGAAATTCTGACCCACAGTGTTGGGGAAGTTTTCCCCTTCTCCAAAATAGTTTTCTTCACTGGTTTTATTACAAGAATCGCTTCATCAGAAGCAGCCCCCGTTCCTAGTAACTTGAAAGCTGAAGACCATAGGACAAGATGCTGGTGGATGCTTAGTCCTGGAAATGGAGTAGGTTTTTAAAAAGTTGTTTTTTCCTCTCGTATCTTTGGCCCCAAAAGACTGTAGTGGGAATGTAGAACTGGACTAGGGTGGCCGCAGCTGCTCTGGAAGAAGGCATGCGGACTTGTCCTGGGTAGCCACTGTTCACACACCGCAGTGGCCGGGCTCATGCACTTCCCTTCCAAAGGGCTTTTTCCTTGAGTAGCTCATATTGGTACCTTGCCTTCTTGTGCACAGGATTCTGCACGCTGAAAGCAGTGACTGAATCACTTCCCTTGTTTCTCACTTGTATATAGCTTGCACGCTTTTGAAAGCTACCCGAAGACACAGTGTGAAAGGAGAAGGGTACAAGGTTGAGGACCAAGGGCCCTTGGATGGTGGTGACCTTAGCAAGAGATACCCATTGATGCTGTCATTAATCAGGTTTATGAATTGTCTTCAGAAATCACTTTAGAGATCGCAGTGTGGAAACTGCCTTTAGGAAAGGACAGGACCGCAGGTGATGATGGAAGGAGTAGAAGTGGGTTGACTCCTTCAGGGAAGGGAGCACCGAGCCCTTCCCAGGGAGCGACAGTCCTTTCTGTGTCCTTTGCCATCTACCTTTAACAGTTAGGTCACTCGCCCTTGTACTGCTAACTCTAGGGTTTGATAGGGCCACGCCCCAGTCTTTATCATAGCTCGCTTAAAGGAATGTGTATGTGTAGTGAAGTGTGTATTCTAATAGCAGAGACCGAATTCCTAAGAATCAGCATGTTCTTACGTGATGTAGACCATAAGATAGAACTGTAGGCATACTCCATGTGAGAGAATTCCTTTACTTTTCTTGTGTTATGGGAAAGAATTTGAACACTGGTGCGCAGGCGTGCACTCTCCTGTAAGGCTTGGTTTTGTACAGAACTAAACTCTTGCTCGTATGTGTCCATCAGTTGTGAGACAATGACTGGACAGTTAGGTCCTTTGCCCTTTCTCAGACTGAGTTATCTTCTCCTGTGATGAAACCTCTTTGGCCTCATCAGAAGAAATGAATAAGCCTAAAGAGGAGTGTGTTTCCCGCCTCCAGGTACAAAGAGTTACAGTGAGAGTTGCCCAGTGTCGCCCAGTACCTCAGTTCTCTTTATCTCAGCCCAGGCAGGAATTATGAGTAGCCCGGATATTGGTGCTTACTCCGTCCCCTGGGGATGGAAGGGGATGGGGCCCAGTGCATTTTATGGTGCTTAGTGCAGACTTGCAAATGTTAACATGTTTTTTTTTTTCAAGAAACCTTTTTTTTTTTGCAGGGGTGGGGATTGGGGGTGGCACATGCCTTTAATCCCAGCACTTGGAAGGCAGAGGCTGGCAGATCTCTGTGAGTTCAAGGCCAGCCTGGTTTACAGGATAGAGTTCCAGGACAGCCAGGGCTACACAGAGAGTCCTTGTCTTGGAAAAAACAAAAAAATTTTTTGTTGAAGTTCTTTGGGATTTGGCATTTAGTGCTTTCACTACAGAGTCATTGTGAGTGAAGCTGGGTGACACCTACCGTGTCATTCACTAGTGACAGCCTCAAAAGCAACCAAATGAAAAGCACTCCGAGTGGCCCCTCCCATTTGAGCATGAACTTGGGGCAGGCACGTGGTTTCTATTCTGTACGACATCTCGCCTGCTGTGGGTATTCACATTTTAACCGTTAGGTGACTTATGTATTCTTGGTAACTAAACTCAGATATGGCATCTGTATGTAGCCAATGACTTGGTTGAGTCATTGTAAGTGTCTGCTTGGGAGTAGCTTTTAGAAGACAGCACCTCTGATCCAACTTCATTTTACCCCTTTCTCTACCCGGTCCCCATCCCCCCAGCCCTGCAACACCACCTCCAGCCTAAAGGTTTTGCTAGTGTGCCATTTGCTGCTTTTGCCTTGTAGACGAAAGGCTCAGGGAGGGTCTCTGATTGCCTTCCCATCTCCCCATACCTGTCTGCGCCAGCTGAGTGCCCTCCCTCCTGCAGTCATCCGCTGCCCACTCCCAGTGCAGAGCTCTGTGGAAGTCATGCCTCTGTCACACTTCACCAATGCTGTTTGCATGCCTGCTGTTTGCAGGCCCCTGGCTGCTCCTGCACATATCCAGACACTCTGTGCCTGTGTTCTGTGGTTGTGGAGAGCGGATCCCGTTGGTATTGGTCAGTTATCCTAGTGTCTTGTCTATGGCTGTATTATCCTAACAATATTCTATAATTAAAGGTATAATTTTTAAAGTAAAAAAAATAAAAATGGCATTCCAATGTGTGGCCAAAAATTTCAGATAAAATCTGAAATACCTTGGAAAAGGAATCTAAACACAAAACTACATAGACAAATGCAGCTTCTCGGTAACTGCCTTTATTTGGTGGGCTATGCTGGAGATCTGTGATCAGAGGCTCGCCTCCTATTACAGATGGCTTTCTAAATCAGCATTTGCAGAAAATAGGCAGTTCTTTAAAGAGACATCAAGTTTACTCATATGGTGTCTTCTTTCTCTTTCTGACCTGAGAGCCTAGGTTATGAACCTGCTGGCCACACCCCTGTATTTCTGCAAATCAAAGAATGTGTGGATCCCTGACTTGATTCTCCAGGACAGACATGCTCAGGAGTTAAGGTCATGTGTTTGTGGCTGAAGCCCACCTTTAGTCTTTTATTCAACATGACTGCATCTTGAATAGTTTCTAGATAGCATTATTGGGAATTACCTTCAACACCTTCACAGAAATGTCCTTTCTTAGTCACTGCACTGATCTTCTTTGCTACTGTGCACTATATCATACAGAAATTTACCATACAGTTCTGTGTTCAAAGATATGATTGCTGACTTCTACTGCAGAATGGTATTTTCCCCATTTTTAATTCTGTGTCCAATTTCTTGATAGTTCAGAATTTTGAGTTATTTAAATGCATGATGATTGATTATGGTCTATAAACAAAAGTCAGGATAAGAGAAAATTTTAAACTTTGAATATAAAAGTGATGTGTTTACTGTCATTAATAGGTGCCACCAATAAATGATAACAACATGATTGCTCTTTCTGGCCAGCCAAGAATGATCTACAACCTCGTAGAATGAACTTAAGCATGGGTACACCTGAATAGTAAGTATTTATGTTCCAATTGTGGCCAATTGCTTTGGTTAAATAGCCAACTATCTTTTATTTATATTTATTTATTTGTTTGTTTGTTTGTTTGTTTTTCGAGACAGTGTTTCTCTTTGGCTTTGAAGCCTGTCCTGGAACTAGCTCTGTAGACCAAGCTGGTCTCGAACTCACAGAGATCCGCCTGCCTCTGCCTCCCGAGTGCTGGGATTAAAGGCATGCACCACCATCGTCCGGCCGCCAACTATCTTTTAAAGACTTACATTTTCAGCTTGTTTCCTGATTATTTGTTTTGTTTTGTACTTTTCCCTCAGTTGAGGAATATTTGGGCTCAGAAATTCTTTAAGAAGAAAGACTGCCAGGCGATGGTGGCGCACGCCTTTCATCCCAGCACTCGGGAGGCAGAGGTGAGTTCGAGACCAGCCTGGTCTACAAGAGCTAGTTCCAGGACAGGCTCCAACACCACAGGGAAACCCTGTCTCAAAAAAAACCAAAAAAAAGAACAAAGACTAAATTAGTTTCCAATACTATCAGTCCTTTATTTCTTTTGGGCAAAGGATGAGTTAAGATGAACTTCGATCAGCCTTTTATACCTTACTGTTATAAATGACATGTTCATGAGGCTGAAAAGAAGGCTCAGCTCTTAGAACATTGGTGACTCATCCAGAGAATCTTTGATACCCAGCACCCATAAGACAGCTCACAACTGTCTGTTCCTCCAGTCACAGGAGAGTAGACACTGTCTTCTGGTCATCACTAGTACCTGAGATACACTTGCTACACTCACTGGTCAAACTCCTACATCTAAGTTGAATTTCATTCCTTTTTAAGGTAACAGGCACATAAAGAAAACCTATTTAAAATATAGAATCAAATACACATCTGTCTTTTCAGTATTTGCCCATTTTGTACCCTAAGAGGCCAGAAGAATGCACCCGATCTCCAGGACCTCCAATTACAGGGAGTTCTATCCAATCAGATATGGTGCTATGAGTCAAACCTGAGTACCCAAGAGGAGCAGTACTCCTGAGACAACTCTCCAGGTCCCACATGTGTCATTATAATTCTTAAGGTAGAGGAGTCACATTGTTCCTTCTGTCTCTTATCACTTGAAGGATAAAGTCCACTATAGATGGTTGTCAAAGATTCAATGGAAGGAATGTGAATGGAATTTGTATATTGCTTCTTATTTTCATTGTTAAGAGACTTCTCTTTATGTGAGGGAATATTTAAAATGTTGGTTGAAATCAGTCTGACTCCAGGCAGATTTTATTAGGAAAACTTCCATAATTTGGGAGTCTTTGTCTTTTGTGATGTTTTTGAGATAGGATATGTCCACATAGCCATTGATGCCAGGTATGCATTATGTGGAACAAGCTGGCATCAAACTCACTGAGATTGGACCCACCCACACTCCTGTGTTCTGTGATTAGAGCCATGCACCTCTATGTTGAGCTGAAATGTTTGTAAAGGACTTATTGAGTAAAAAAAAAAAAAAACATAATGAAAGACTTAAAAGGGAACATCATTGTTTTGATAAATAACAATATTTCTTCAAATTGTATTATTTAAATGGCCAAATAATTTCATATGTTCAAAATAATGAGTCATTGTTATT